ATGATTAAGATTACGGTGATATGATTATATTTTACTTTTCCAAAACTGAGATAAAGGAAAACAAAGAAGTTGAATAAATTATTCTAAAATTATTGGCGGTTGTTTTGGTCACTAATATTTTTTATAATACACGATTCCACATTTTTGTGCTTAAATAATTCTTCATATATTTGGTCATTCAATTATTCATTCATTCATTTATTTTTGTACGCTCAATCACTCAATCGTAACGGTCCAATAAACACACATCACAGGAACACAGCAAGACACACGCGCGCGCACACACGCACATACGGATATTCACGCACAATACATTTACACATATTTATAAATAATGTATACAAGATATATGAAGATAGATAATAATTACTTAGGTACATACACGCATGCATACATGCATTCAATCACTGAATGATTTATCGAGGCGGTGTTATTTCATTAGAAATATTGCACACATCCGTGTGTATATGTCATGTATTGAATGAAACATACAATTATTTATGCGTACAAAAAAAATACAAACAAACACACATAAACAGACATACGACTATAAACAAACACACTAAAATAAAATATACACAAAAAACAAACCAAGACACACACCCACACACAGACACGCAAACAAATTAACAGATCGGGCCAAGTTTCTTAGTAATTTTTCTAATAATTTTTTTTTTCATTATTCTATGATTTTTAGATATTGATAACAGGAAGAATAACAATAATAAGGAAAAAATTTTATAACCATAATATTAAAATTAATTTCAACAGTAAATCTATTATAACCCATCCGAATTAACTTGTTTTTCCTGTTAATATTAATCTATCAAAATATTTGGCGATAAATGAACTTTGTCGGGAAAAAATATTTTTTCTCCAAAAAGATTTCAAAAATATAAGAAAAACAAGAAAAATATATACTAAGACTATTTTCTACAATTTTCGTCATGATCAGAAAATGATTAATGAGCAACGTAAACAAGGAATTACTGTAGTCTGTGTGCAAAACATCTCTACTAGATGTGAATGACTGCCTATGTTTGCTTGTATGTGTGTGTTGATTGTGTGTGCGTTTTTGTGTCTGTGTTTTTTTTATATTTTTTTAAGTAAATTTATATAAAAATGAAACAACGAGATTATGTTTGTATGAGTTAGTGTTATAAATGTGTTTTTTGAGTTTCATGTTCGTTGGAATGTATGTGTTCAGAATGTTTGTGTGAATTTTTGTATATTTGTGTGTACTTTTGTATGTTATTATGTACCTTTCTATGTTAGTATGTATTTATGCGTGTCTGTATGTATTTATTATGTTAGTATGTGTTCTTGTATTATGCATCTAATTATTTCATGGTGTTGCATATTAATGTTTGAGTGCATAATCTCTTTTGGGTAAATGCAAAAATTTCCATTACATACCTAGGCGTACTTAACTAATATTTTCTTTCATTATCAATATTACTTTGGCTTCTTATTTTATTTTAAATGATGTAAGTTTTCAAACAAAATTAAATAAATTTTTTACTTTGCAAATGGCAAGCACCACCTTAAATATTTCTAAAAACAGATAAACATTTAGGCAATGAATTCGTGAAAAATGTCTCAAAGTTAAGCACTGCGAAGGTTTCAAGTTAAGGTAAACTTATCCCGTTGTCTAAAACTTGCATGTCATAAAAGTTTAATAAATTGTATGATATGTGCGTGGTAGTGTTATTTTGTGTGGATATAGGTAGAGCAGTTGTTGTTTTTCAATGTTTTCCATGTTAAATTACAAGGACCTATACTGATTCGTACTCTATGCAAAAACTTTTAGTGTTCAAATTTTTGGATAAATTTTTTGTTTTACTGAAATGTTTGATAAAGTTTCATAACTGAGATGTATGCATTTGTTTTTTTCTAAATTTTTACTATAAATCTTTAAATTGCTTGATAATTGAATTAAAATTTAAAAAGTTGAAAAAAAATTATTGAAAAATTTTTATTTATTTATTTTTTAAAAATTATGAGTTACTTGTTTAACTTTTTCTATTTATTATTTTTACTTTATTTGTTACACAATAATTTACCAGTGTTTTATTTATAATTTTTTATGACATCTTCTTACTCAAGTTGGTTGAAGTGATAAAAACCTGTCCACAGAAATTTCTCTCATGTTTTTCACCCACGCAATATTTTCAGTTACTTTTTCCCAAAAATTATTTGCAAACAATTGAAAAACATTGTTATTCATTAATGATCATTACCGGCTAAAATGGTTACATTATCATGCTAAAATAGAAAAATAAAAACAGATGGATGAGTTGAATCATGAACATCACAACGAGCATACATCTTCATTTACATGCCTTCAATATTTTTTTTATGCTGTCTAGTAGAAACTTGAAATAAATAAGGAAATAACCAATGTAACAATTTTTTTCAAATAAATTTATTCTTTGTTTGGCACTGTTTTATTATGAATAATTGAATTTATTTTAAAATAAATAAGATGTATGTAGTTTTTTGACAAAGAGTTATACTATATAATTGATATTCTTTTGACCATCCTAAATTGAAATTAACATATGAACATTTGGGTTTAATTTATATCATAAATGCTTGCGTTGGCGACACTCACTTTTACACCGGCTGAATGCATGTACATTGCAGATACAAACCACAAATACATATACATAAACATACACATATATATAAACATATATGAACGCATACATACAAATATATACATACATACATAAACTAGCGAACAGGCATAAACATAGTCGGCAATAAATTAGGAAGCAGCAGAAATTGTCAGATTGTCATAAATTAGGATGACAGCGAACGCAGCGATTACAGAAGTAGTAGAAGGAGGAAAATATGTTTATTTATTAGTTAATATATGTTATGCATATGTGTGTGTATGAGAGTCTATACGTGTGTGTATGAGTATATGTATGTATGTATGTGTGAGGATATCTGTATATCTGTTGTGTATTGGTATGTGTACGTATGTATCAACCAACATATGTATGTGTGTATATTTTTGTGCGTTTTGCTTAGCTGTAGGTTATCATTGTTTTATTCATAGTTGTAAAGTATTCTCGTTACTTTGTGCTTGAAAATTGAAATTTTCAAATTAATGTTGTTTCATTTATCAAATGTCTGTAAACTAAACCATTAGTAATCATATATACATTTTAAAACTTTGGTTTACATTAACTTATAGTTATTTGAAAATCAAATAGGAATATTAAAATTATAGATGATCTGAAAGTAAAACAATACAACAAATTGCATACAAAAAACTGAACGTTAACAGAAGCGGATCTAGACAACTTTGACGGAGGGCCAGGATTTTTAAAATCCCGGGAAGGGAGGAAGTTATTTGATGACCAGGGAAAAGAAAATTTTCAATAAAAAGTTAAATTTTTTTTTTAAATATTTTAATATTCAATGGGGAAAGGCAGCACTGTGACAGGGTGGGGGCATTTTTCTGGTAATGCTAGTTTAATCCTTCAAAAACACTACTTTTTCACATGAAAACAAACACGTTTACTTATAAATTAATAAAATTAACGTTCACAATAGCCACAACCAGGATTTAACTTTGAAAAAATTGAAATTAATAAATTTAAAATATAAAATAAGAATAATAAAAAAAAGACAGTAATAACCGATAATATTCAATAAATTTAAAAACCATTTAATCAGACCACGTATGTCCATTTCATTCGTCTTTCGAATGTTTGTTTGTAACTTGTTATTTCATCAAATTTATAATGATTATATTCTTGTTATTGTTGTTTTTATTGTTGTTGTCCTGTTTGTAATTGATATTATTATTTATATTATTATTGTGTTGTGATGATGTCATGCTAGGATGATGTCATATTCTAATGACATCATGTAACGATGATGTGATTATAGAAGAAGACAAAAAAACTCGATGTTACTAAAAAAAACTTTCTAAAAAATTACTTTCGTCTACATAAACAATTGTTACATTTTTCATGGTGTTGTTGTCGTTTCAATTGAAAGCATTGCAGTCTTTTATTAATGTTGTTGTTGTTAGTTGTTTTTTGTTATTGTTGTTGTTTGTCTAACGCTAGTTGCTTTGTCAATTTTTTGTATTTGTTCTCTAATTCAATAATTTTTGTAGTTTAGTGCTTTTGAGATGGATTATGTTGTCTGGTTTTAAAACTTATTTTTGTTGTTGTTACAATGTAAAATGTTTTTTTGTGAAATTGTTCACTTCTATTGGCAATAAAAATTTTATTATTTGCATGAATTACACAATGAACGCTGCTACTGCCATTATAATGTTCCAATGGTCCAACGGCCGAAAATGAAACAGAACAGATACAAATCTTGAATTTATAGCACTGACTAACATTACCCAACAACTTAAATTTTCTTTTCTTTCAAAATGTTCGTTTGTGATACCAAGATTACAAACAGCAAGTCGATATAGTTTCCAGCACTTCAACACTATAAAAGTATTATTATTGACAACAATTACTGCTACAACAGGCATTCAACCGCGGACAGTATTACCAACACACACACGATCATTACTACTTTTCCGAATAACCAACATATGTTTTGGCTCATGTAAATTTGAAGAAAAGATTACAGAACAAAATGAATGTTTGTCGGTACCTATATTGCTGCCTAGCTTAAAATTTATATTTTTTTTACTGTTCTTTATTGTTCGTAAACTGCCAAACAAAGTATGCATGAGAAATATCAATTTTTTTGAGTTTTTCAAACATAAATCAAAATATTATTTCAGTTTCTAGTGTTATCATATTTTATGGCATTCATTCACGTTTTTCACCATACCAGCATAACTCGAAATGTTCCAAACAAACACCATGTTACATTTGTGATGTTAACAGAAAACTAATCAAAAACAAACACCTGTTAACATACAACTTCGTCAAAAGATCAAAAAATTAGAAACGTTAGAGTCAACAATAATAAAAACATTAAGAACATCAAGGACAACAACAAGAACCAACCGTGCCAAAGCTCTCAAAATATCGTCGAATGTCTTCAGCAGTTGTCGGGGCAGAGAGTCCGCCGACAAAAATTTTTCGTGTTTTTGTCATGACCTGAAAAAATTTGAACAAAAATTTAATTAATTATTAAAACATAAGTCAGATAATTTGTATGATAAAATAAAAATTAGCTAATAACGAAACAAAAGATGGAAATTTTGAAATAAACATTTCTCAGTAATCAGAAAGCACATCAAAACTCATTTTATTTTGAGGACATATCAAACATTGCAAAAACATAACATTAAAAACAACAGTACTAGCCGGCAATTTATATCATACATATTAATTATTCAAACTCTCAGTTGTGCTATTCATGAAATTTTCCATTAAAAACGTCCATTTATTACTTATTTAGTTGACGAGTTGATTGACGGAAGATTGAAAAAAATTATATTTCAAAAAATTTAAAAATTATTTGACGTAAAAATTTTAGCAAAAAAAATGCAGCGATATAATTAAAAATTAAAAAATAGATGAATTATCTGAGCTTTAGCTGTCTGCTAGCAAATTAATGTATACTAATTTTATAATTTATAATAGGTTTTGCCCGTTTTGTACATGTTTGAAGGTGTTTGTGTGTGTGAGTGTGTGGGTGACTATATATGTGCGTGCAACATTATTAGGCAAAACTATGGATGTGTGAATCTGTTTTGTGTACAATTTTATTTTTGTTTGTGGGTGTGTGTGATCGTCCAAAACTTCAGTTCGTTCACGAATGTGAGGGGAATCGTGGACTTGTTTTTGTTTGTGTACATGTGCATGTTTGTGTGTGTGTTTGTGCGTTTATGTATGTGTGTGTGTGATTGCGTATAGGAGCCTTTAATCTATTCATATATAAGCTCACACTTAAGAATATACAACATTTTTCAGTTATTTTTTGTTTTACTGATTTACATTAATTAGTATCTATAATTTTTTTTATGACTGTTAAATTATACATGTTTGTTAAACTACAGAACTGCACATATTTATGACACGTGAGCAGTTTTAATTAAATATTTCGAGAGGTTTGGAGATGTCTAAATATACAAACTTATAAAATTGTTCTAAACACATTTTCATTAAAATTACATGTATATTTTCTATATATAATTTTATTCTCAAATTTTCTACATTTAGAAAACAAATAGATTGTCTGATGTCTGATCTCGCTGCTGCAGTGACTTGGTTCAAATGGCAGAAGATTCGCTTCTATATCTTAAACATGGAGTTTGTGTGGTACAAAAATTTATGCGTATCTATATTCACTATATGTTTCATATTCACCACAATATTTATAAAATTAATTTTTATTTAATTTTGAAAAACTTGTTTATTAAAAAGAGTATATTTCCTGAGGTTATTTCTTTAATTTAATTTTTTTTTTCGTTGAAAAAACATTAATATGAAAATGTAGATAACATCAAATTAATGATCATAGCAAACATTCGCTCACACAATTTTTTACTAAAAACCATGCTGAAATATTCAAAAACACAAAATTTTATGAAGACATACAAAAACTGTAAGAAATATAAAAAGAACATTTAAAAGCATACAAAAACTTTGAAAATTTATAATTTATTTTACGAGAGCAACATAGTTTAATTTTTCATTTTCCCACACAAACAAACAAAGTGTATGAAAAAAAATTAAAAAATAATGAAAAAAGTTAAAGTAGTAGAAGTAGTAGAATGGAATATATCCTGCGGTCGTTCAATAATTTAAGCCTCCTCTTCAAGAAAAACTACTTTGGAACAGATGTGGGAAGGAAAATTGAAACTGGAGAACGCACGAGCAAACAAAAAATGATGACAACCCAACATTTCATCTCCATGTGTCTGCATGAAAGATAAAAATTACTGAGCGCTGCTCTCAAGAAATATGGTTTGCTGCAAAGATGCAAATGACACATACGTTCGCACACGTACGAACAAATGTAAAGTACAGATGTACACTGTACACTTTACACTGTACACGTTAACAAATATGTGGGAATGTGATCGAGCATTTGACCATGCTATACTACATTACTGAATTGGAATTATAAAATCTACTTTCGTTTCGAAGGAAGAGCATTATATTTTTTATTTATTGGATGAAATCTCTTTCTTTCTTGCTTCAATTAGACACATAAATAAAAATGGTAAGATTGTTTCATCTAGATGCTCCAGAGAAATTTTCAGTCTCATTTTCCTCAATATTTTTTTCAATACTTTTTAAGTTATATTTGTACACGAGTTCAAGTTTTGATCTAATAGCGCATTTTTTTTGAAAAAATGTATTAGATTATGTGAATGTGCGGTGGATGGGTTGAGTGGATGGGCTGAGTATACTTGCGTTTGTAGGATTTGTTTTTTTTGCATGTGTATGTCAGTTTATGAGTTTGTTTTTCTGTATTGTGTGTGCTTCTATGTGTGGTCATTTGTGTTCTTGTGTGTGGTCGCTTGAACTCTCCTCATCTGTTACCGTTGTAGTGCTGCCTTTCTTTCGCTCATAGAGCTTCAATAATTTGGTCGTTAGGCTGATGAAGAGAGGGTTGGCAAGCAAATAAACGTCACTATTTGTACATATCACTGAGATGTACTCTCTATAACTGACGTGTACAACACACGCGTGCGTACAAACCTACGTATACAATCGTGCAAAGATATCTTGTTTATAATGGAATGTCGTGTCAACAATTTTATATTAAGGATGTATATTTTCACGTGCTCTTCAACACCAACGCATGTATGTACAACGGTGTCTGGTGTTGTACGCTCACGTTTGTTTGTATATTTGTATAGGAGCGTGCGAATTTGAAAGTATGCAGGTAGACTGACGTGTGTGCATTTCATGAATAGTGTTATATTCGTGAGAATGAATCTCCATCAGCGCCAGCAGTACGATGAAACATGTCCCTTCAACATCAGGAATGCTCTCTCACCACATCTTCGAGTTATCAAAAATTATCTCTTTGAATTTTTAAAATACTTCACTAAATAGCATTTACAAATGTAGAATAATCTATATGTAAAATATTTGTACGGTAATTTTCGTTTAAAGAAGCATCATCTTTTTAAGCAGGATTTAAGCATCTTTTTCATATTAAAAAACCCAATTGTATTGTACATAACTCCAATATTAAAACTACCACCTTGACATTTAATATATTTGACATTACATACTAGATAAATATTATCGGGCACTAGGCTTAAAAAATTTCAAAATTTCTCCCCACATGGGAGAAGTTTTTAGGCGGAGCATTTGGAACGAGAGCTCGTCACATTAGGCTAATGCTGAGTGGCGTAAATAGAATTAAAGAATTAGCAGTTATTCACGTGAAATATGCTGATGAATGAACGTTTTTTAAACATTTTTTTCATCTTTAATTTAAGGTCTGCTTCTGTTCTCTAAATTGTTAACTTAATTTTAATTCTTGTTAGTTTTTTTTTTCAATTTTATTTCATTTTCCACTTTATTTCAAAATGCGCACTTTACAAATTTATAACAAAATTCGTTAAAAAATTAAAATTCCACTTTCCCAAAGATATATAACCGTGACTCTTAGGAAAACTTGAAAATTATAGATCGACGTGATTATTATTGTCGGCAATTTGCGGGCAGTTTTAAATGATCAAAATTTTACGACGTTTCCCAGTTTGAACCTTATTGAATTCAAGCCATGTTAAAGAGAGAACATTTTGAGGAAATAACAACAAATGATGTTAAGAAAAGTAAACACACGTAAGATAAAATAAAACCATTGTGGCAAGTAAACAAACCACCGAAACATATAAATATTTTAACACGCCAACAGATGTGCCTAAATTTTCTTAGTGGTGCCAATGATGTGACCGATATCATGGATACAATTGATATTGCAGGTACCAATGATATCACTGATACAAATCGGAAATGATGTTGCAAGTATTAACTGTAGGGTATTAGTAGTACCATGGTATTAATGATATAAATGGTGTTAATGGTTTTACATTGGCGCGATTGCTCCTTACATTCATTAAACGTAGTGCTCATGCGTCCATGTTTATCAATACAGAGATATTTCTTTGTATGTTTTGTAACAATTTTCAAGGTTAAATTGAAAAGTTTTAAAAGAGCAGGTGTTGGTGGAGTGCATTCATGGCAAGTGCATTTAATAGGATAAAAATAATGTTTGGAGTGAAATTTAAAAACCAGATGACAACGACAGATAATTAATTCTTTTAATGTCTTCGTATCATTTTCGTTATCTTTCATCTAGATATCTTTTCAATTAATTTTAAAATAACATTAAAATAACATTATCATTTAAATTAACTAATTTAACTACAATCGGAGTTAATTTTTTACCACCTGAATACTACACAAAATTTACTTTTCATAAAAATTAGCAAGTCCTTTTAACGAAGATTACCCGACTGACATACATGTTTTTTATGCGCCAAAATTGTTTCGCAGATTTCTACAGTGGAAAATAGAACTACGAAATATTAATAATTATTTGCATCAAAATTCCAAAAATCAACCGCAATAATTATAATTTATAAAATAATTTAAAAGAATCACATTCCGTAATCTATAAACTCAAACGCGTACATACACACACATACACGCACGCACAGATAGATAGACTCATACAAACATATATTTATAAAATGAAACACACGTAGCTACACGTACAAATAAACACATGAAAACAGAACGGAAAACAGACGGGCTGATTAAATTTCAAGTCGTTTAATGATAATAAAATATTCGAAATACGTTTTTATACTGAAAAAATTTTCACAATATAAACATAACGATTGGCAGTTTAATAAAAGTATACTAGCAGCACTAAGCAGTAGTAATAGTTCTTATTTTACTAGTAGAGTAGTTGTAGGGTTAGTATCAGTAGTAGTTGTAGTAGTAGTAGCAGTAGCAATAGTAGTAGTAGTAGTAGTAGTAATAGTAGTATCAATAGTAGCAGCAGTAGTAGTAGCGGTAGCAATAGTAGTAGTAATAGTTGGAGTAATAGTAATATTAGTAGTAATAATAATAGTTGTAGTAACCGTAGTAGTAATAGTAATAGTAGTAGTAGTACCAGT